CCAACCAATCAGGCAGCCAGCCAACCAACCAGCCAACTAGCCAATCAACCAGCCAACCAGCTAACCAATAAGTCAAGCAGCCAACCAACAAACCAACCAGCCAACCAATCAATCAATCAACCAGCCAGTCCACCAGCCAGCCAATAAGCCAATCAACCAACCAACCAATCAACCAGCTAACCAATCAGCTAGCGAACAAATCACCCAAGCAGCCAGCCCTGACATCATACCCCAGAAACAGCAGGCGTTAGGCAACCCCAGGGAAATACGTTAACAGATATTGATTGCCACGTAAAGGCAGCTTGTCGAAGTCAGAAAGGTAATGGAACCCAAATATCGACTGTAGGAGATAAATGCTCTATCATTTTGCCACTGAGATTCCTGTCACGTGCAAATGGAAATGTAGCCTCAAGGCAGAGACTGCCGCTGGGTTTGGAATGTCTAAGAGCAAACTAGGCCTGAGAAGACACGATCAGCCAATCAGCAACAAGGCACTAAAATGTGAAATAATGGGACAGAAGAAGCAGACGGTCCCAAAAGAAGTCCTAAAACAAGCGTTTATTAGAGAGCCCAAAGGTGTTGGATTGAATTGTATCCATGATGGTCAAGGAATTGTACACACGTGTTGATTAGAGAGCCCAAAGGTGTTGGATTGGATTGTATCCATGATAGTCAAGGGATTGTACACACGTGTTGATTAGAGAGCCCAAAGGTGTTGGATTGGATTGTATCCATGATAGTCAAGGGATTGTACAAGATAGAACCGAATGGATGAATAGACTACGAGCCACGTGTGAGATAGAATAGAACAACAGGGCAATGATGACGATTGTAGGCAAGACGTAACGAGGTGGGGTGGTCAGTTGTCTTCCTCATTGTGTGTCCTTTCCAGAGAGTTTTAAAACATGATGAAACTGATCAGAGAACAATTTTTATGAGGGTCCGCTCGACCTAAGAAAAGTACAAGGGAAATAGAGGATCCGTTTCAACGCTTCAAGCATAAATTTTATAGACACACTTGGTAGATAATGTGGTCAACATCATACCGACCACCTTTACTTCCCAAGACTTTACCTGGTACCCATTTAAGGCTAGGTCGACCTGGGAGTCAAGGTCATTAAACAAACAACGATCTAGCTACGTTCAGATTTGAACCCATGACCGCCAAATCCTTATCTAAGAGCAGTACCTATAAAAATAAAAAACAGGGTCAGGAAAGTAACAGTTGTGATACCAAAGCTCATGGTCCTATATATGTGAGGTGAAACTAAAGGGGTTTCTCTTCTGCTTCTGGCTTTTATTCCTACAAAGAGCATGGGGTCCGAACCAAATCACACCAAGTCGACAGATCGTTTGCTATCGCCCACCCCACATCCTCTCCGTGTTTTTAATTTTACTCTCTAGTTCCCTTCTCTATGCGTTTTTTAGGGTGGTGTTAAGCTTTGCTTTTACGCTCCTGTGTGCTCCATTTCTAGTGCATTCTAATTAAAATTATTCGCAGGTTTTCTTAGCGTGTGTCCTGTCCAACGCAATCATCTTTTTGTGACCTCTTGATTCACTGGATTCTGTCATAGTTCTCTCACAAAGCACAACATTAGCGATTCTATTACACCATTCTACAGCAAACACAACGTGCCGTACTTACCGTGTCAATGAAATAGTGATGTCCTCGAGCCACCTTGTCAGGTTTACCACGACACTTCGCCCACGACAGTCACAGAGCAGAATGTACCGCCGTAATCAAGTACTTCACCTGTGCACGAAAGACACAAACCAGTTCAACCCGCACACACGAGTTGTAGATGTGCTCACTCTAACGCGCGCGCACACACTCACGTGTTACTCCCAGCTAGCACCGCGAACACACAGCGCGCGGATTCCAGCTAGTGATCTCATTATCGATCTCTCCAAGGTTCCCTAGAGTCTTTTGTTGTCTCGCACAGCCACCGTTCTGATACTCCCCATACCATCTGTAGAAAGAAATAGAAAATGGCTGCACTTAGTTCGAATTTTTTTTTTTTTCACATGACACATACAATCAATCTCACTTGATAAAAAGCTTAAACTGAATCTGACGTAAACTTACAGGTCACAAATAAAAATGACAGACAGTGACGAAAGCATGAAAGACTGCTAGAAATGAAGCTAACAAATGAATGCTTGTGACAAAATTAGAAATGTGGCAAACCAGACGTTAGCTTGGCTTAAGCTGCAAGTCCGGGTTGTTTATTTATCGACTGCTCGCTAATTCTGCCAAGGACAATGCGTCAAAACGCGAAATCCCTACATTACAAACTTCACTTTTCTCAGACGACGAAACTTTCCGAGAAGGGTGACTCTATCATCTTACGTGATCACAGCTTGTGTACAGCTAGCTTCGTCAGCCATTCATTTTTTGTTTTCAGGGCTTCACTGATATTTTATCGACTTTTGCACAAAGAAAAACTAAACAGCTTTTCATAGCGTGAACGCAAGCAGACGCAGATTCAGGGTCGAAATTCCCAACAGCGAATTTCCCCGTTATTCTTTGGGAGGAAAAATGCACAGGAAAATCGATAAAAGCCTGACGCCAGCGCTGATGGTTTCTGCGACAACCACTGGTGTCATCGCTTCTGAATATTTGATCATGGCTGCCTCGTCCAGTCAGGAAAGTCTGAAGTTTTAGGTCGATGTTGCTGCGTTGGGTGTCGTGTTTACACAATTCTAAGTTGTGCGTGCGTGTGTGTAGCTTTGTTTCTTACAGTACTTCTTGGAAGCAAATTTTCAGGAAATGTTGCAAATCAGTTATTCTTAACCGAGATCTTTAGGTAGAGTATGACACTGATATAATAACCTCCGTGTAGATTAAACTGAACAGAAAGTGAAATTATCAATAGCGATATGGCCGAAGCCAGTCCCAAAAAGAAACACTCGCCAACAAAGGGCAAACTGACCACAAAAAGTCCATCACTCAGCGACTCCTCCGGTCCAGCCAATGATGCAGGAATGACCATGGCCACTTCAAGGGTAGATAACGAAGGCGATGAGGCAGCAGACTACCAGATTGTGGCCGCCATTGACTTTGGGACCACGTTCAGCGGGTATGCATACAGCTTTGCCTCCAACAAACAGGCGATTCATGTCAACAAAAACTGGGGACAGACGCAAGGTAAGTTCGTCAGTTTTATACAAAGATTCTTAATTTCTACGAAACCAAACAACTTCAAAACAAAGTTAAAACAAAAATCAATTGATAATATTCTATGTGAGCTACCCTGGTGTAAAGGCTAGGTAGTCGCCTGTGTATCTGAAGGTTGTGGGTTCAGCTCCTGATGCAGCTGGACCTTTTTTGTGTTTAAAAATGACCCTGGCTTCTAGGTCGATCCAGCCTTAAATGGGTACTAGGTAAAGTGCTGGGATGTAAAAGCGGTCGGCGTGATTTTGACAAAATCACCCACCTAGTATAGGTTTAGCCCTTTATGCTAAATACGCCAGAAGGCGAGGAAAAAGGTCCTTCAGAAACATTGCTTCCAACATAGATACAACCACGTTTGCATGCCAGCTGTGCTAGGTCTGTCTCACATATAATCGATAGATTTGCCTGCATACATTTGTTGCCAATTGAATAGCACTACCCTACATGATGATGATGATGATGATGATGATGATGATAATGATAATGATGAGGGTACTGTGTCTACATCAGCCTCGTCAAAAGTCTTCCAGGAAACGTTTAGAGTTTCATCTTTGATGGGAACCAAGACAGGAAGGCAACAGGCGACCTCAACTATTTAAACTGTGTGCTAAAGTATTTAATGGTCAAATACCATTCCCTGAGAGTAACACCTGTCTTGAATCTCCTTCTTCGTCATAACGTTCATCGGTTGTAAACTACCTTGTGATGTCCACTTTTTTCTTTTGGCTTTGTTCCAGAAATTGAGTTGTGCGTGCACGTCAGTTTTACAGATCTGGTTTATTGATATGCAGATGTTGGTTCCTCGCCTCTCAGGCAGATGCACTTCGACTTCAGAGGAAACAGCCCTAATTACTAGCCTTATATGACATGCTTGTAAGACAGGCAGAGGGTCTGTAATTTTCCACTTTTTGATGCACAGTTACGTCCATGTTCACATACGTCAATGTGACCATACATAAATGTGACCATATGTCCATGTGACCATACGTCAATGTGACCATATGTCCGTGTGACCATACGTCCATGTGACCATACGTCCATGTGACTATACGTCCATGTGACCATAAGTCAATGTGACCATACGTCCATGTGACCATACGTCCATGTGACCATACGTCCATGTGACCATACGTCAATGTGACCATACGTCAATGTGACCATGCGTCAATGTGACCATACATCCATGTGACCATCCAGTTTCCACAGTAACAGTCCTTGTTTTCAGTTTCGCGGCAGTCCCGCAGCTACTGGAAATATAAAATATTCCATTGTAGGAATAATCTCTACAGTAAAACATACACTTATAGTTCTATGAAGTTACATCTGCAGACCTTATTAGATTTCATAGTCATAGATATGTTGTTCGTCCATTTCGAGTAATGAAGACCACTTTAATCTAAAGTAGTAATGATCAATGATTATGAGTACGAAGGTGGCTGATTAGTCCAACATGAGCCCTGAAAGTTCTTAAGCAGACAACAGGTGGAAGCCGCAGTAAGTGTGGGATTAGCAGTACGATACTTTCTAGTCTGCCTTCGTTTCTCTGCCTGTGCAACCTCCGCTGCCTGGCATGCCGATGCACCATGCCCGAGGGACTTACTAGTCATAGATACCATTAAAGCTTCAAATGTTGTTGAGTGCTCATCATCATGTAGCAGGTCCTTTGCAGAACGTCGCTCTCATCACAGTCTGCCTGTATGAAACTCGGTCTCTTGCCAGTTCTCCTGCCTCATGAACTTCCACACTCAAGGAGTCACTTATATCCTGTGCCCATCTTCGTGTTGGTCGGCCTCTGCCCCTCCTCCCTGGTACCATGCCTTCTGCT